AGCCTAAATTAGCCTTGGAACCCTTTGATCCAAACATAAAATGTAAGCTGAAGTTAAAATTTGGTAAGGGATCTGTACTAAGAAAATATCGAGGTGGGGGGCAGCCTCCCCCTTGCTATCCAATTGCACACAAATATTTAGCTTAAATCCTAACCTTTAATATCAACGGTAGTTCGCGGGTTGCACTTGGATTTTCGAACCTATCGTATCTCTACCAAAATTTGATACAAGCTAGCAGGGGGAATGGAGAGGATATGCTGAAAGTCTCAGCCAGATCCCTTGAAAACTCAATGCTTAGAAGCGAATATATAGTAGCCAGCATTTGCAATTGCAAATTTGTGCAAATTTATGGATTTTCAATATGTGCTTGCAGGCCGGAAACCCCTGGTTGCGGGGCTGTGCAATTTCACCGACAAGGAATAATTATATTGAGTAAAGTTTAATTTATTTTAACAGTTAATTTAGGGTTTCATTTAAAGTCTTACATCATGCACATTTACTGTGAAGGTTTTCATTTATTTTGGCCTTAATTTTATCATGATGTCATTTTATATTTCATTAAAGTACATTAAATTACAAAAGTTTTTCATATTTATTGCAGAAATGTAAATTTGAAATTGTTTGAATAAAAGTATTTTCTTGTCAGTTTTGTTAATAATTCGTTCATTTAAATAAAAACTATTTTCTGTGCCGTAGCACTCTCTCTCTCTCTGCCAGAGTTGCCGAACCGGGCCGACCGGGCAGACGGCTAGAAAGACAGAAAGATAGACAGAAACTGAGAGAGAGAGAAAATACAAACTCCAACGTTCAGACAACTGTGATGTGTTTATGCGTGGCGCAGAGACGCACGGGTTTAAGAAATAAAAAGAAAACTTTTCAGAGCAAAGGCGGACACAGGGGGGTGGCGGGGGGACATTCGCCACCCCCTGACATGTTTAGGGAGGGGCGTAGCCCCCCCCTGAGATTTCGAGGCAAAAAATGTTCCCAATTTGATAAATCGTATGTGTTTTTCAATTTTAAGCTATTTGATTATTTTTTATTTAATGGAAATATAATAATTGTCCTAATCCTTTAATTTTGTTCCTAATTATCAATTTTTTTGTTCCTAAAAAATCTTGCCACCCCCTCACTTAAATCCTGTGTCCGCCCCTGTTTCAGAGAGATGAATTTTTGCTAAAAACCAAATAGAATAAAACAAAACTTATTGAGAGAGATGAATCTTTGCACATGAAAACGCATAAGCGAACAGAAAAAAGATGTTGTCCTGATTTTTTTATCATGTGTCATTTTCATGCGTTTATGTGCAGCGCATGGAATTAAAACAAATAAAAATAATAAAATTTTGAATGAAAACGCAGAGGCGCAAGGAAAAAACATGCATTCCTGATTTTTTTATGAAGTGTGTTTTTAGAAAAAATACTTTTCTAACACTTTCAGGCAGTTTTTTTAACATGGCTCATTATATTAAGATTCGCATGTGTATGCACAAATTTTTTTTCTCATAAAATGTTGTTTATCATTAAACATTGTTAAATCTCAGATGTAATAAGTCTTCTTCTTACCACTAGGCGAAACATGAAATCAACGACTGTTAAATAACTATGAAACACTGCTCTTTATTTATATAAAATTTACCCTTTTTTATGGTAACAATTGATTGGCCCAAATTATGGCAACATAGGCAAAAATAGCAGCAACACGGCAACAATGTTGACCAAAAAAAAAAATGGTCACAATGTTGGTCTGTCGGTTGGTTTAAATATATATATACATATACAGAGTGAGTCTGAAAAAATGTAATTTTAAAGTTTAAAGTTTTTTTTTTTTTAAAATATTTGAAAAATATAGAATTTTGAAACCTTAAAATTATAAAAAGGTACATTGAAAAAATTGTTGAAAGGTTTAAAATTTCTTTTTTTTAAAAATGTTATTATGTTAGTGGGACACGTGATCCTATTTTTGTTTGTTTTTAAAAGGGATTTCAGTTGGAAGAGAACAATCTCCTAAATGGAAAATGACTCACAGAAATAAAAATTAAAACTTTAAAAGTCCTAAAAGTATCTGCTTTGGTTGTTTTTCTTTTTTAAATCTTTGTTTACCCATGATTTTAACAATATAAAAACAATTTCTCAAACATATGTGTGCTGGAGTTGCGTCAAATGTAAGATGTAAGATGCTAAAGGTTAAAGAAAAATTTGAAATTCTGATAAATTTGGATAATTTACTGTGATTAAGTGCAGTGCAGAAAATGCAATTTGATTGCAATAATTTTTCAGAGATATCTGTACATCTATACTTTGCTTGGGTGTCCGTCTGTTTGTATACACCAAATAAACGTCCAAACGGCTGAACCAATTGGGCCAAATTTTTTTTGTGGCAACTCAATTTTTTTTGGTAAAACCCGCAAAATTTTGAATTTTAAAATTACGAAGATAAAATGACCCTGAAATGCTGTGTTTGATATTTTGTTTATAAAATATTATTATTGAAATTGTCTGTTAACACGAGCTGATTTATTCTTACATTGATATTAACCATTGTATATATAAAAAAATTGTAAGTTTGTTAAAACAAATAAAAGCGTGCCATAAAAAATCGGTTTCTGAAAATTATCTAATACAGATTTTACTAGAATTGATNTTGAATTAGTGCATGGGTGCGAAGCGCCCTGGTAGTCTAGTTTCAATACAAACAAGTTGAATTAGTGCATGGGTGCGAAGCGCCCTGGTAGTCTAGTTTCAATACTAATAAGTTGAAAACTCTTAATGCATTTATATATCAGTCAATGTAAAGCTTGTTTAAATAATATTATTAAATATCGGGCGACACTGTTGAAAGATAGATTGGAAATATTTCATAGAAATATTTTAATGTTTCAAAACTAAAATTCATTTTAATTTTCATTCATTATTTTGTTAAAATAGATGCGGTTTTATCAAACAAAACACAAAGGTTGTAAACAAGGGACGGAACTTTGCTGGTTAAAGTATGTCCAAGCAATTGTTACTTCTTGTTGTTAGAGATAGGCACGTTCGGCTTTTTATATTTTGTTCGTTCATCGTTCGTAATTTGTAAACGACCCATTTTGTTCGTTTTTTTTCAATCATTCAAAAAATTTATTTAATTCATTCTCAAAATTATCGTTTATTTTCCGTCTTTTTCGTTCGTTTTCTCACTGAGGGATCGTTTGGCAAAATTGTTCGTTCAGTAAAATCGTTCGTTCAAAAAATCATTTTTACAGTAAATAACACTATTGCTTTGTCAAAAGTTAGTAAAAAAAAATCGTTCGATCAATAAAAAACTCGTTTTTAATAAATTTGTTCAGAGAAAAAACGATCGTACGTTTTTTAAAAAAAAAGTCTTTCGGAAAATTCGTTCATTCAGTAATGCAACGATCGTTTTTTCAAGATCGTTCAAACGATAATATTTTTTTTTGTTCGTTTTTAAAGAACTTTAGTTTTTTAATCTCTCTGAACAATCCAAGTTGTTCATTCATCCTTCGTTTTTTCGTTCGTTCTCAAAAATGTTGAATTCGTTTACAAAAACGATGCCCATCTCTAATTGTTGGAAAATGTGTTGTTTCTTTACCATCAACCAGTTCCAGAGCAGTTCTTATGCATCAAAACTACGCAAACTCTAGTACACCCCAAAGTGATTTATTCACTTTGAGTACACCCCCCCCCCCTTCTTCTTTTA